CGATGCATATACTGCTGGCTGCCTGTTAGTAGTTTCTGAATATTACGCGGTTATTCCGCTGTGACTGACGGACCTCGAATCTCAGTCTAAGTTTATAATTCTAAAATAGACTGCTTTAATCCAAGTTAGCCGTCAATTTCTGAGGAAATTCAGAATGTACAATACTGCTGACGGTCTGTTGACAGCTTTTGAATAGTACGCGATTATTCCGCGAATTTCAGCTCGAGCGTTCATATGTAAACTTTCGAAGTGAGCCTAAAAAGCTGTGTGCTGAAGGATTTACGTCAGGTTTGTGCATTGATTTCCTCGGAAATTAAACAAGGCAACGGTGAACATCGTGGGTGCCGACGGTCGAACTTTCATATTGCCAGCGTGTGTTGATTGGTGTGGCACAGCAAACGACACATGTGGTCGGAGGAGACAGGAAAATGTGTTGCTGGCGTCTGCATAATGTGTGTGTGTGTTCAACCATCTAGGTAGCGTGACGTGCCAGCTTCAGTCTATGTATCAGAATTTTCGAAAAAAACGATTCACATAGGAAATTTTGACCGAGGTGTTGCAGTCAGGGTGCTTCTAAATAAGCTATTTTTATCGGTACAAGCAAAAACGCGAGTTCAAGGAAACGGTTAAGGAGGAAATGCGATCGTTGGATCTAACGATCGAGATCTTTGAACTACACCTTCAAAACAAATAGTTTGAGCAGAGTAGTCGCCCTGCACATGGCCACATCCTTCAGTTCTTGAAGTTCTGTCCCAAGACGCGCTTAAAGTTTTATGGAACAATTCGCATGTAGGTGAAAAGCACACCGATTGGTTCACCGACTTCGGGGCTCATAACCAAGGCGGTTCTGCAACTTCTGGAGTCCCTGATCTTCCGATACCACAAGCCGAAATTCTGGATTCGGTGTGTGGAGGATGCCTTTGTCGTTGTCGAACGCGACTAAGCTTTGGCATCCAAAGAGCATCTTAACACTGTCCACTCTCCGAGACGCTTAATGGTCTGATACGGGGATTCGGCGCAGTGCCTAGCGGTGCTTAAATCGGTCCGTCTGAGAATGACACACAGACGACATGCCAAAACACAGTACACCAAGATTTCACAAAAGGGGTGTAGATTGCTTAGAGCTCGCGTGTGTTAGAGTGTCATTAAGACCACAAGGGGAAGGACCAAAATAGCATGATTCCAACTTCCATGAGAGGTGTCGATACCATGCTTGTGTTGGGTGAGAAGAAACGGGTTCATGTGTGATGTCTGTGTGTGCTTGAGAAGATGATGGGTTCTGACCGACGGTGTTTTGTCGCCGGTTTTCATAGATGGTCCTGGGCCCGAGCAACCCAATACGGTGACTGCATTTGCATAGGCAGTGTGGGTACACATCCCCAATAACGCCAGCTGTGTCCTGATCTCACCGTCCGTGTTAGTTCAACGCATCTATCAGTCCTCCGGCTTCAGGGGCAAAACCAGCCCCTGGAGAACCAACACACACCCACCGCATCCGCCTCAACAGCCCGCACTGTAAAGGCCCTCTTCGTAGTACTCTGAAGGAGGGGAGGAAGAAACGGAGACTGGAAAGGGGAAATTGTTTATCAGGTCTAGAACAGACACAAGATTAGCTACCCCTATCTGGTTTAATCCTCCAGTCGATGCGGTTACCAGGATGAGGACGCTAGGCAGGGCCCGGCTCCAGGGAGTCACAGATCAGAGTTGGGCGCTGGTTTAGAACCGTACGGAGCAGCAGCCATTTGCATGCTCTGATCTACCACACCTACACGGCCTGTCCTTTAACTAGACACTCATGCACCTCCAACAGCTACCTCACAATCAACCACGAAAGCACTTACGTAAAAGCATCATATCGAAATACTAAGCTGCACTTCACTGAACTGGAAGACAAGGTTGCCGAATTACATTACATTAGACGGGCGTTCAGAACGAATAGCTACCCGCTCAAATTCGTCAAACGGTGCACGCACAAACACGACGTGAGACCAAGCTGTATCGCCCCAAAATTTCGATAAGAGTTGCAGTGCATCAAGGACTTTTTGGAGGCCCTAAATCGTAATCTCACATCCCTTAAAGATGGGCTTGCCCACAAACTGACGACAACCATCAGGCGTCAGGAAATGAGGACGAAGAACCAACTGCCACGGCAGGAAACGTCTGGAGTCGTTTGCCGCATCTAGTACGGTTGAGGCTAAAGCAACAACATCAGAGAAACCGGAAAGTTAATCCGTACACGGATGGCCGAACAGGCAGTAGCAGTCAGGAGGAACAGTCCCAGCTCCCAGGTCACGGCTTATTCAATGGTACGCGGTCACACCTTCAATGAGGCCGAAATTCGAACAAGAGGGGATAACAGCGCGGACGGCGAGCAGCCCGAAGTCATGATTCTCCAGCCCCCAATCTGTCAACAAGCTCGATAACCTCCCCCTACATATTTGACGTCGAGACTTTCTGTGTCTTTTAGCATGACCGCCAAATAACTATTACACCAATAACCAAATGGAGTGAGAAAACCAAAACAACTAACTAATCCGCTGAGGGAAATGTAGTTGTTGCCGCACCAATTGCAATCTTCTGCTGGGAATTAGAAGCATATATGCGATGAAAAAGCAACTGCAACTCTTGTGCTCTTACGGCATTTATCTGTTGCTCTCTTTGGTGATGGGTTCGGATCTGACTCCGAAACGTCAGGTGATTAAGATCGCCGTCCCAGCGATCGTGTCTTTCTTTTCTGGAATAACTATTGATTAAAACCCCCGTAAGGCCGCAGCCGACAACGAGGTAGGGAATGCATTCAGATCGCGTCATCGCATGTGAGATTCAGTCTAACGGGACGGTAGACTGAATTCCGGTAACCACACCTTACCAGCTGTCCTGTTGCTGGAAATTTCCCATTGATGTCCCCCAGCGCGCCCGTTTGTTCTACGCATGAACATTCGTTTTTTAGGGGCCCGGGCAAGAAAACGAGCTATAGAGAAATTCAGTCTGAACTTGAGAATATGGGTTAGCCTAAATTGCTGATTCTCAGGAGCGTCAACCTAGTTCTTCACTAACTCGGCTGAATACTGCTTATAAAAATAATAAACTTGTTTGCATGAACGCAAATACTGTCACCAGTGTTGTCTCTTGTTCAAAGGTGCAAGAGCTATCGAAAACCTTCATTTACCGTCTATGTTCCTAGGTCATTTAAGTGCGACGACATTAGGTAAGTCAGTTTTAGAAACAGACAGATCCTTTCAAACTTCTCACCAATATTCCTGATGGGACTAAATTAAGTGTCACAAGGAATACCAGTCCCATTGCTGAGTGTGTAGGCCTCAAGGTGTGCAAGCATCCGCTATGTCATGATTAACGAGCCATGACCCTCTCAACCAGGTGTGCGTTGGCGGTTTCCTGCCGGTAAATGGTCTTGCGCTCCCGCTGGGTATACAGGTAGTGTGCATGGTTGCCCAATCACCCTTTTCTTTCTGATTCTTTTTTGTGTTGTAGCTGGTTAAAATCCTGGTCGTGTTTTTTGTGGACCAAGGTGTGTGGTATTACGCTTAGGTGCAGCTTCGGCCTCGGCATCCACCTGCGCCCCTTCTTGGCTATGCTGTGATACCAGGCCCAAGTGGGGAGAAGGGGTGGTTGCGGTATATGCTGCGAAAGTCTACACTCGCCGTAAGCTAATTCATGTTCAAGTCGCCATGCCTACTCCACCTTTCTGTGGAGCACACGATGGACATCGTCTGGCACGACAGACGAACAGTCGCGTGTGCGCGTATGTGTTTCATGTCCCCCAAACGGGCCGCCTGGTAGATGCGCTGGACCAACACGGGCACCATATCGGATTCTAGCGAGCGTTATCGGACTGCTCACCATAACAAATGTCAACAGTTCGGGGTGCTGTGGCAGACCCGGTTGCCGAAAGAAGTCGAGGACACTGGGACCCCCACCGCCTGCCTCTTTGTTGCTGTTAAAAAAACCGGGTCATTTTGAAGTGCGGACTGGGGCGATGTGGAGTGGAACGCCAAGGTGCGAGCTCGACCGTGCCATCCACCTACGCACTCCCTCGCATCTGCTCGTCTTGACTCTCTCTTGACACTGGGTCTAGATTGGGGAGAAGAGAATGCGGTAGATGCTGCGCAAGTCTACATTCACTATAAACTAATTTACGTATAAGTCACTGTTCCTGCTCTCGCCTTGCTGTGGAGACACGGTGGAAATCGTGGACAACGACGGTCGAACCTTCGTGTCGTCGTGTGTATGTATGTGTGTGTGTGGGGGGGTGTAGAGGTGTCTGACAGTGGATTCACGTGACGACCGTAGTAGGCCGTCCGCTTGCCTGCAGGTGCAGATTACGCCTAGCGTCCATTTGCTGGCACCCAACTCTCACATACGGCTCCCCGAAGCTAGGCTCTGCCTAGCGGCTACAGCCCGGTAACCGCCTTGACCGCAAAACTAAACTAGGTGAGGGTATCCGTGTGTTCATCCGCGAGCACTGCAATTAAGACTCCGCTGGCCGGATGGATCACCGCATCGGCATCGCCGTGACGTGGCTCTGTCCGGAACACCGCAGGAGGCCACAATTTAATTGAGCCCCTGCTAAGCGAACGCTGCTCTGCTGCCGTTGCTTTGCTTGTTTTTGTTGCCTGCTCATTGCCTGCTTACTTATACCTGCGCGAGTTGAATGCTAATTCCCGTTCTGTTGGATTTCTTGCATCGCCTTTGCTTCTTGCTGTTCTTGCCTGCTAGCTCCTGTCTGGTTGTTCGTGTCCGTCTTTATTGTAAGTTAAGTGTCCTTCTGTTGAATGACGGGAAAGCTGTGCATCCCGTCTCCATCCGCTTACGTGTCGTCGTATGCAGTTCCAGGCCAACTCGGATCACTCACCCACTTAACCAAGACGTGGCCTATAGTGGAGTTTGGCAGCCGCCTGGGACAACTGAACAGTCCTAATTAGGGATAGCACTGCTCATCCCCGCGAAAGAGAAGGTGCTAGAAAAGGTGCCATAAACAGATGGTAAGGAACCACACAGTCAGCTGGCTGGCCGTGGCTGCAGACGCAAAACTCACGGTTGAAACAGTAAAAATTGAAACAACACACATTCTCTCTTCCCCAACCGACTACCCGCCGCCTCACTCGCCGCCAGACTGGCAGGGTGAGTCTGCTCACTCTGGCAGCCTGGAATGTTCGTCCTTTTAGACAATCTGAGGAGCAATCGAACGGAACGGAGGACAGCGTTAGTGGCTCAGGACCTGGCGCGCTACAAGGTGGACATCGTCACACACAGCGAGACCCGGTTCTCCGAACAAGGCCAACTGGAGAAGGTGGGTGCCAACATCAACTTCTTCAGGAGCGGTCACCCAAGGCAGAGCGACGAGACGCGTGTGTCGCCTTCGACACCCGGAATGACATCGTGGGACTACTGCCCTGTGTGCCGCAGGGCATCAACGATCGGCTGATGAGCCTCCACCACTATCATCAGTGTGTACGCTCTGCCGATGACCAGCCCTGACGCTGCAAGAGACAAAGTCTACAAGGACCCACATGTCCTCCTGGTGAATTTGTCGAAGGCGAATAAGTTGATTGTCCTTGTTCACATCGACGTCCGCGTTGGCAAAGACCATGCTGCCTGGAGAGGCGTGCTAGATCCACATGGTCTCTGTGGCTCAAAGGACAACGGCCTGCTCCTTCTACGAACCTGCGCAGAACACCGCCTCATTCTGACGAACACCATCTTCTGTCTGCTGGAGCGAGAGAAGGCCACCTCGAGGCACCCTCGGTCGCGTCAGTAACACCTGCTGGATTATGTCCTCGTCCGGAGACGAGATCAGTGGGACGCGCTGGTGACAAAGACGATTCCGGGAGCTGACGGGTGGACCGACCATCGCCTCGTCATCCCGAAGATGCGTATTCGCCTACAGCCTCCGAGGAGGCCACAAGGTAATCGATCCCCAGGTAGGCTGAATATTGCCTTGTTGTCTTTGTCTGCTCACCATCTCCATTTCAACAACGAGCTAGCTCAACAGCCAGACAACATTTCAGCCATTGATTCCACCGCAGCCGCGAACACCTCTGTGGGGAACAGACGGTTTCAACTGCGGGACACAGTTCAGTCGACGGTGCTGTCCGTCCTCGGTCGGGCACGCCGCCAACATCAGGACTAGTTCGACGACAACGACGCCGTCATCAAAAACCTGCTCACTGAGGGAGAAGCACCGGCACAAAGCCTACGTCGATCGCTCCCTCGACGACAACAGAGCTGCCTTCTACCGCAGTCTCTGCCTCCTACAACAGCGGCTGAGCCTGGGCGGCTCGAAAGGCTGAGGAACTCCAAGGGTACGCGGGCCGCAACGAATGGAAGAAATTCTTCTCCTCGATCAAGCCTGCCTACGGTTCGCCGACCAAAGGCACTGCTCCTCTCCTCAACGCCGATGGCAGCACCCTCCACACTGAGAAGGCACAAATTCTACAGCGATGGACAGAGCACGTCCGAGGCGTCCTCAACCGCCCATCCACCAATCCCGACGCCGCCATCGCCCGTCTGCCGCAAGTTGAGACCAACCTGGACCTCGACATCCCGCCCTCTCTACAGGAAACCATCAGGGCCGTGCAGCAAATCTCCAGCGCGAAAGCACCCGGATCAGACGGGATCCCTGCTGAGATCTATAGGCACGGCGGTCCCCAAATCATGGATCATCTGACTGCGCTCTTCCAGGAGATGTGGTGTCAAGAGGAATCCAGAAGGATTTCATAGACGCTACAATCGTGCACCTCTACAAGCACAAAACGGACCTCCAAATCTGCGACAATCACCGACGCATTTCCTTGCTGAACATCACCGAGAAGATCTTCGCTCGCATCCTCCCCAACCGCCTGAATAATTTTCTAGTAGTGCAGGCCCTTCTACGGGAAAGCCAGTGCGGCTTACGCCGTCATCATAGGACCACGGACATGATATTTGCTGCCCGCCAACTTCAGGAGAAGTGCCAGGAGATGCGGACCCACCTGTACTCTAACTTCATGGATCTGACAAAAGCCTTCGACACGGTGAATCGTGAAGGACTGTGGAAGATCATGCAGAAATTCGGATGTCTCGAGCGATTCATTCAGATGGTGCGTCAGCTCCACGATGACATGAAGGCACAAGTCACGGACAACGGAGCTGTCTCAGAGGCATTAGCAGTGACCACCGGAGTGAAGCAGGGGTGCGTCCTGGCGCCCACCCTCTTCATTCTCATATTATCTGCCATGCTGATGGACGCCTACCGTGACGAACGCTCTGGGATCTACATCGCCTACCGGACGGACGACCACCTCCTCAACCACAGGCGGATGCATTACTAGTCGCGTGTATCCGCAAGCACCGTTCACGAAGTTCTCTTCGCCGACGACTGCGTCCTCAACACCACCTCGGAAGAGGAGATGCAACGGAGCATGGACCTATTCTCCGCCGCATGCGAGAACTTCGCTTTTATCATTAACACGGAGAAGGCGGTTGTCATGCACCAACCGCCAGCCAACACAGCCCCTCCCCACAATGGCCCACAAATCAGCGTGAACGGAACCCAACTGCGGATGGTGGACAACTTCACGTATCTTGGAAGCACCCTCTCCCGCAGCACGAAAATCGACGACGAAGTCGCTCGCCAGATTTCGAAAGCTAGTCAGGCCTTCGGCCATCTGCAGAACACCGTCCGGGACCGTCACGGTCTTCATCTCAATACGAAGCTGAAGATGTACAAGGCAGTCATCCTGCCGACGCTGATGTACGGAGCGGAGACTCAGCCACTGCCACCTCAGCTGTCTTCGACGGATACTAAAGCTGAGGTGGCAGGACCGGATCCCCGACACTGATGTACTGGAACAGACGGGAATCCGCAGCATCTACACCATACTGACACAACTGCAGCTGCGTTGGAGCGGCCATCTTGTGTGGATGGATGACGAGCGGCTACCCAAACGACTCTTTTATGGAAACGTCGTCAAGGGTTTCCGCCACCAAGGAGGTCAAATTCGTCGCTACAAAGATACTCTGAAGTCCTCCCTAAAGCGTCTCCACTGTCCACACTGTCATTTCATATTCGTGAATCGCATGGGCCTATTCGGCCACATGCGTATCCACGAGAGCGGAATTGATTGTAGCACTGACACACCCAGCACACCCACCATACTTAACCCCTCCCTCACTCCACCAACCGCCATCAGCTCCACCACACCCAGTGCACACTGCACACACACCACACTCAGCCCCACCCGCATCCTGTCGAACAGTGAGCACACCACCACCAGCATCTCCGTAGCTGACACTGATACCACCCGACTTCTCGTGTCCACACTGTCCCCGCACATTCACCTCACGCGTCGGCCTGGTCCGTCACTTGCGAATCCATCGTACAGAGACTGGCGAACCAGTGCCTGGAGCACCCACCTATACCCACCGCACTCGCCTCCACTGCCCACACTGCCCTCGCACCTTCACGCATCGCATGGGCCTATTCGGCCACATGCACATCCACTAGAGCGGAGTTGACCGCCCTCCCGACTCACCCACCACGCCAAACCCCATCCCCACTTCATCACCCTTTGCGCCCATCACCGGTATCGCAACTGATACCGACACTACCGACTTCACCTGCCCACACTGTCCACGCACATTCACCTCTCGCATCGGCCTGATCCCTCACCTGCGAATCCATCTCACAGAGACGGGCAAACCAGTGCCTGCAGCACCCACCTACACCCGCCGCATCCGCCTTCACTGTCCACACTGACCTTGCACATTCGTGCACCGCACGGGTCTATTCGGCCACATGCGCATCCACGAAGACCTGCGGTAGACAACCCCGGCTGCACCACACCACCAAATCCTCCCTCACCGCAAACTCACCGCTCATCAATATTACCCACCGCAAGCACCCAACTGCCACCTCCCACGCAAGTGGGAAGTGTGCGGCCCCTGTTGCACGGGTGACTCGTGCCTAAGACTATCCCGACGCGTCAAGAGCAGTGGACAGGAAGGCTGCTGATTGACGCCCCAACTCAGTCCACGCAGTCCGTCCAGTCGGGTGTGTTTGTGCGGAGTGGCGGACATGTGGGCTGGGGTCCGGGCCGATACAGCTCCTTCCACGGCACTCCACGCAAGTGGGAGGTACGCCGCTCAACCTCCATTGTGTGAAATCCTGGTGGTTGTGTTTGAGGGCCAGGTTGTGTATGTGGCGCGCGCAGACAAGGTCACCAGATATGTCAGCTACCGGGCCCAGTCCTCGCTCCAGACAATTGACCTGCTCGTACAGTGGCCGAGGCATGGGATTAGGAAGAGAGGGTGAAGTCGATGACTCAGCGCATTCACCTCACTATAAACAATCTGACGCGCTTGAAGCTATCACGGTGTGCTGAAAGCCGTGGCTTGGAAGGTTGCCAACTGACTGGATAATTTGGACCTCGCAGTCGGCCCAGCGTTGTGTGTTTGTGTGGAATGGCCAGCTGATGATCTGAGAGTCAGGCTGAAGTGGCTCTTTCTTAATTGAGCCTTTATGGCACTCACCTTACTGTGCGATCTGAGTCGGGCGTGGCCACACGCTTAAGTGCGGCCTTGATCGTGGCAGCCTCCATTTTCTTTGTTGCTGTGGTTGGTCAAAAATCTGGTTATTTTTTGTGTGGACCAGGGGTTATGGAGTGAAGCGCCAAGGTGCGGGCTTGACCGTGCCATCCACTTGCGGCCTTCTTCATTTCCGGTCTTCTTGAGTCTGTCTTGGTACCGGGCTCAGGTGGGGGAGGAGCGAGTGTGGTAGATTCAGCACAAGTCTACCGGCACTATAAACCCCCACGCAAGTCATTGTCCCTACTCACACCCTACTGTGGGGTATATGGTGGACATCGTCTAATGCGACGGTCGAAATATACAGTTAATTTTACGACCCTACTTATGTAATCTTTCCTAATTGAAGACACATTTCCGAGTTTCAGTTAACATTTCATGAGATAGCGCATCTACTACGTGCGTGTGTGTGAGAGAAAGGACAGTGCGACATGTTGTTGGAGAATGTGGATCGTGTTGTTCTACTGAAGGTTCTCGTGGAGATGCAAATGACCGATCAGGTGGCCAAATGTCCTGGAGTAGTGTGGATGGGTAAGAGAGGAGCGACGGGGGAAGCTGGGGGCCACTGATACCGATTTGCCGCTCGCAGTACGATGGAGTTGCAAGTGTCCAGTCGGCCGTGTTGGCCGTCTGTGAATGGAAAACTAATGCCTGGAGCCTCTGTATACATCTATCAGGCATGTCATACCTGTTCACACTTTTTCTGCACATTCAGGCATCGCATGAACCTATCTTTTCAAATGCGCATATGTGAAAATCTACCATAAAAACATCTCAGGCATCGTTTACACCATCGCACTTTACAGACGCACATAAACATACCTCGCATCCACAGCAGATGCATTGCATCGAACTGCCGTCACGCAAGCAGACGTTCATCGTGCTACGTTGCATTCTTACCTACTGGTAGTTGTGAGCGAGGTATGTCTTAGATGAACTTTCTCCCGACATGCCAGCTTCTGCGCCCAACCTCATCGTCGGTTGGTTAAAGGGCCCAGATAATCGACTGGTACATGTGAAAGGGAAAAGACATCGATGCCAGCATTGTGGAAACCATACTTACTCCAGAAGAATAAATTTCTCGCAATAATAATTCTAACGCGCCTGTATCTATCATACGCGTGTCTACCGATTGACGTGGTAGCTTCGTCCTTTTATGAGATACCATACCCTATCTTAGTGTAGACTGGTTCTAAGCAAATGGTCCAGGACTAATGTAGACGGGCTGTTTTTCTTTGTCAGCCACTACACCGACATCTGTCTCTGGTTGTTTCAACTCTGTCTTGCCATCGGATATCGGTGGGTGTGGGGAGAGTGAATGAGCAAGACGCGACGCAATTCTAATTCATTATAAAGAATTATCGCACAAGTCGTCGCTGCTGGGCCCACCTCATGGAGCAGTGGTGGATGGTGTCGTCCGCGTGGGTCGAATTATTGCATGGTCTGAAAGATTATCTATCCTTGCACTCCTGAAGCTTCACGAACAGTACCTCTACTTTTTCCTTGTAAACATTACACACCAAGCAAGATCTGAACCCATGCCTTTTGTATATTTCTATTGATTTTTGATTGTTGGCTTGAACTTCGCTTACTCTCAGCTGGTTTGGTTTACTCCACTTTTCTCCAGGTTGCTGACGGACACAAGGCCTGCCAATTTAAATGTCCGCGGTTTCAGATTCATATAGAAAAGCAGTGATTTGTCGGAAAGGGGATTGCAAACAGCATTAACTACTGGCCTGAAAAGGTGATATCCTTGTGATTTTTCTTTGCATCTCATTTGCGTTCTGATGTTAGGACAGATTCCTGAATGCAGTACCCTGTGACCGTTAATAAACTCGATGGCGGCCGAGATGACATGAGCGATAGCTGAGGTGATGGAACACCTTTGATTCGACTTTTCGGATGCCAAATGGATCAGAGTTATGATCTCGAGATTTAAATCGTGGTCGAGGTATGGTTGACCGGCGACGGGCAATAACCCAAAAATTATCAGTTCAGATTCTCTACCTTTTTAACACTTATCAGTCATTAATAAGTTGTCGCTATGGTGCAGCCTGAGAGAGGCCCACTTCCAGAACTCCAACAAACAATGAAAAAGTCCAATTCTGTCCCGCTATTGGGACAGTTCAATGAAAGTCACTTATGAGTGAAAGAGGATTCCAGTAAAAAAAGAGGAAAGCGTGCCAATGAATACGTTGGATATAAGAAGGTGCTTCACTGCATTTCGCGAATGTTAGTAATTCGTGAGCAATTCCAGCTACGTAGGACTGATATGACATTTTTTGGATTGTTAGCAATGCTCAAATCCGGTCTCAGATATATTTCAGATAGGGGCCTCGCCCTATCAGAGGTGCACACGAATACTTCGTGGTCATCCTCAAAGACGGTCACAGATATCTATCGACTGAAGCATGTAGCAGGGGCTTAATTCGCTGACTTAGTGCTCCACTAAAGAGCCCTGAAAGGTACTCGCGCAGACACGTAATATTCCCTGATTCTGTCAGTGAAATTTCTTGTTTATTTCTATGCTGTGGGCTTAGGGGAGGGGCTAAGGGGTGTGGGCGACAAGCAAAACAAAATAGCGGCAGAAAAGGGTGTGAGCGAACAGTGGAAACGCAGCGTAATCAACGTACCGATGCTCTGCAAAGTACACTAGAAAAGCTTCAGCTGCACGATTGAACGCTGACAAAAAACGACAAATGAAACCAAACGAGAACAATTCGGTTGCTCCATATAAACATATGGAAGATGCCAAAATAAAAAACAGTCAAATCAGGAAGGAAGGGAACAGGTGAATTCGAAAAAAAATACCACTACAAAGAACGAGACCGACGTGCATAACAGCACAGGATGTCATGGTTCTCTTAGTATCCTAAGTCTAATGGGCAGAATCCTACACATTCTTACTGTTTGATAGGACTTATGCTTCGGTGGGATAGGTGGACTCCCGGAGTAACCCACGAGTTTGCCAAATAGTGGAGGCTGCAGAAACCTGAGCAGATTACCCTTTCACATTGTCACATATCGTCTACTCGGACTAAGAATTGACAAGCGACCTGCTTTGCTCGTAAGGATGCTAGCGGAGACGATGTGTATAACTGCTCTGAGAGAAGAGGTCAATATTTACCTTTTTTGTACTATAGGCTTTCTCGAGTGTAGCGATAGGACCTTCCTGTACTCGTTTCCAGTCCAAGGTGGGAATATCGGAAATTTAAAAGACCTCCGTTGTTGACAAATGACAAAGCCAGCAGGCAAG